TTCATCAACTAAGTAAATTTGGAAAATTGATATCATCTGTTTATTTAGAATCTCATCTTTTTGTTTTAGTTTTATACTCCATATTAAACAACCGAAATGCATACAAACAGTTTCCAAAAAAAAAACTGAGTGGAGAATAAGCATCACATACAATTAAATAGTGTCATCATTTTATATTCATAACACCATTTATAAGGATACACGGCAACAATAAAACTAAGCAATTAAAAAGACAACCATCGATTGAGAACCCAGTGAAAAACAAAAACTTGGGGTTACGGCGAAAATTTTCCTTGAATCTCGAATTCATACTCTTCATTGGGATTGACGGAAATTAAAATTAAGTAGTCGCCTCACTCAATAGACTTACGGAATTCTCAATCGGGTCGGCAAACGATGAAGATTATGAATGGCAAACAATTCTCCGAATTTTATTAATAGAAGTGAGAATTAACGGGCTCTGATACCAAATGTTGAGAAATTCAGTCCCAATTAAGGATCTAATCTCATCTAAACATGATAAAATTCATATAATCAAACAATAAGAACACTAACCGGTTGAGGAGAAACCAAACGTTGATGGCGAAGATGATGAAGTCATGATGTCTTTGGATTCTCTAAGGATACAAGCGGATTTCGATGGATTAAACGATTCTCCCTTGGGTCTCTTATTATAGGTGTTCTTGAGACCCTTGGGAATGAACATGTACGTTCGTTTAGTCGTAAGAATTGAATGGGCGGATGCCTTTTATATTTTGTATCAAAGAGAAACCCATTTGATCCTTTATGTATTATTTAATGTTAAAACATATCCATCATATGTTAACTATACATAAATACAAGGACCAAATCTGTCATATGTCAAACTTAATGGTAAGACATAAATGTCCCCAATATATATTAAATTATATGAATGATCCAAGGGCATTTAAATGGAATATTTTCCAACAAGACGGTCCTGTGTGTGCTGAAATTGAACAATCTTGAGTCTTCTTCCACAGAGCATGGACTTGAAGAGTTGTGTTTGATCTTCTTTTTCCTGGTTTTGAAAGTTTCTTTGGTGACATTTTTGAAGAATTAAAATGTACTTCGTAGTTGACATTGGTTGTGCTAATTTTGTGAGGTTTGTTGTGAAAAAGAAGTCTGGTTACTATTTTATGAAGACTTTGGACCCAACCTACCATGTTTTCATTTTCCCACTTTTCTTCACAAAAAGAAAAAAGAAAAAAAATGAATAAGTTAACTTTTTGAACTTATGAAGACTTCAGAAATTAAGTGCTTATTCAAATTAACTAATTTTGAAGACTATTTTAACTTTTTAACGGGCTGAAATTTTAACTTAATGAACTTATGAAGACTTTAATTTCCAGTCTTTCTTTTAATAAAAGGAACAGGATGGTGTGGAGTTCGAAGTGACCATCACGAACCCCTAATTAGAGAAGTGTACTCATTTTCCTATTTCATACAACTCTTTTCCTTAGGGTGTCACACAGAGGAGTAACCCATTTTGTTACGGTCAAATTCTTTTTACTGTTAATGGCGATTGTGGTAATTCTGATAGTTATTTTGGCAGCTTTTGTCGTTTTTAATTGTTGATATTTGTATTGTTCATCTTTTGAGTTGTAGTGTTTGGTTTGGTACTGGCACTAGCTATACCTTCCAATTGAGTCACACACTAGTCAAAGTAGTTTTCTCTCTGCCTTTTGTATTCCCAGACTTTGTTTAGATCATAGGAAATGATTCTGATTAAAAAAAATACAAAGGGTATAGTATTTTTTATTTTTAATTAAAAGGTTTACTTCATTACTAAAATGGATTTGTCTATAGAAACAAACTGTATTACTACATCACACTTCTATTTCATACTATGGAGTATGAAATTTTAATGTCAAGTGACGATTTGAATAAATTAAGCCCCAACCAATACATTGTAAAACATAAAGAAACTGAATAAATTTTAATTGCTTGTTTCAATTAAGCCCCAAATGGGTTAATGGTAGAGACTTTGGAACTTAAAGTCTTAATTGTTTGCAAATAAATATGCAAAAACCACTTATGAATAAAATAAGTCTTATATGAATTCTAACTTTTAAATAACTTTTAAATAACAAGTGTTTTCATTTCCTTTTATAAACTTAACTCATTCACTAATCCTTATTTGATAAATATATTGATAGAAGTTGTTCTCTTTTAGGCGAGGATGCCGATAGATAAGAGTTGGATATATATAAAGAATCGATTATCAAATGAGTATTGGAAGGGTTTACAAGGTTTTATAGACTATGCAAAGGAATTTGTGAATGAAGAAGGAAATATAAGTTGTCCTTGTAAAAGATGTTTGAATGGAAAAATGCTTCCATTGAAAGACGTTAAGCGACATATCTTTGAATCTGGGTTTGACGTGACATATTCACATTGGGTTTTTCATGGTGAGCCACCTGAGATACCACCATTTATAAATTCAAATGTAGAAGATGAGGCAGAGGATGAAATGGCTGCAGTACTGAATGACATTGCAGGAGAAACTCGTGACCATGGCATAAGAGGTGATACCACATATAATACGGGTGATGAAATGCCAACTCAATTTGAGGATCTATTATCTGAGCTTCATGCAGAGTTGTATGCAGGGTGCACTAAGGTTTCTTCGCTAAATTTTTTAGTAAAACTTATGCACTTGAAAGTACTCTATAAGTGGCCAAATGAGTGCATGGATTCAGTGCTAAAGTTGCTAAAAGATGTACTCCCTGATGGTAATAAGTTACCAACTTCTCATTACGAGTTAAAGAAAAAGTTGAGCAAATTGGGACTTGGCTACGAAAAGATTCATGTGTGTAAGTATGATTGTGCTTTGTCCTGGAAGAGTAATGCTGATTTGCAAACATGTCCAATTTGCAACACGAGCCGATGGAAAAATGAAAGGGGGAAAAAAGTTCCATGGAAAGTTCTCCGTTATTTTCCATTGAAGGATATATTGAAACGATTATTTGTTTCACGACACACCTCTAAAGAAATGACATGGCATCAAAGGGGTAAATCAACTGATCCAGACATGATGCAACATTCAGTAGATGGCAAAGAATGGAAAGAGTTTGATGAGAACTACCCCGACTTTGCTAGTAGATATCGCGGACGCCAAAGCAGAGTGGGTCCTACCCTATCAAAGGGTGCATCTCGACGAGTGGAAGATGGCACTACTTCAACATTCCAAGATCACCGGGATGTTCAAATAAGTGAATTGAAGGCAAATCAAGAGTTGATGCAAGCAAATCAGAAGTTGATGCTTCGTGCCCTACAACAATTTATTCCCGGCTTTCAACTTCCTTCACGCAGCTCCACAAATGATGTTCCTTCGACATCAAGTGCTAACCAACCTGATCAGAGTCTCGATGAAGATGATCAAGTTTGATAAAAACGAGTTGAATATGCTTTTTACTTGGTTAAGATGAACATGAATTTATTTATGTTTACATTTTGTGATGTTTGTAATGATTTAATGAAACTTCGTTGTAGGATAACTCACTTTTACTATGAATATTGAATGAATTTATGTGTTGTTGATTTTGGTTGTGTTTGGATAGATTTTGGTAACATTGATTTATTAATAAAAGTTTTGTATGAATAGCAATATGTAATGTGGTGTAATTTCAGAACTGTACAGTGTTATTTGCGTCACAATGTCGACGCAAATAATGTATTTTAAAAAAAATGATTGATAGGCTTTGGCGTCAACATGTGGACGCAAATAATGGCATTATTTGCGTCGACGTGTTGACGCAAATAAATATTCACCTTTTGCGTCGACACTATGGATGATTACTTCTGGAAGATCTTTTCCGTCCATATGTCGACGCAAATAAGATTTTATTAAATGTGTCAGACAATGTCGACGCAAAAACATTATTTGCGTTGACACTTTTGCATCAACCCTTTTGCGTAGACATGTGGACGCAAAAAACGCATTTGCGTCGACTTATGCTCTTTTGCGTCAACAATTTGTCGATGTAAAAAACGTTTTTTCTTGTAGTGAGTACCTTTCGGCAAAAGGAGTGAGGGACTCCTGATGGAGTATATGGCCCAGGGACCCCCGGCCCACATACTTCCACTATTACAACTAGGCCCAACAGGCCCAAGCGGGCCAAGCCCAGCAGGATGGAGCTCTAAGCAGCCCACGATGCATGAAGGGGTGCCTTCGGCCCCATGGCCGAAGGCTACGAGTGACAAAATTGGGTTCGGCAACATCACGAGAGAATAAGGCTTGAAAACCAAGCCTTCGGCAATTGGAGCCCTCGACATTATGAGACCCCCGGTACGCAGGGCCTTCGGACTGTCATATGCAGTCGAAGGCATCCTCCTCAACAGAATCTCCCGTCCACATGCGCTGGATCACCGTACCAAGTACAAACGTCTCATCCAACCACCGCATTTAATGCGGCCACATGTGAGTTCCAGCGCCACCCCAGTTGAGGTGACCCCTCGACCACCAGATTGCTGACACGTGTCCCCATCTAGCATTTATTGCTACTATAAATAGCACCCCTTTCCCCCATTGTAAACCACGCTCAATACAACTAAAATACACATGTGAACTCTTTATCTCTCTTATTTGCTTGCTCTGACTTCTCTCTAAGTTACTCCCCGCAGTAATCCCTCAGATAGATACCCTCGGGTACACTGTCCATAAGCACGTATGAATTGTTGAGAGAAAAAACTATAGGTTTTCTGCGAGAATAATAAGTGCGAAATAAATTTTGTAGAGGCTTAGGCTGTTTGAATCATCCCTGCCTATATTTATAGGGAGATAGTCGAGCATCCACGTAAGTGGTATAACCAAAAATCGACTGATTACCTATGAAATGACTGATTTGGTGATTTTTGTCAATTCGTAGACATAATTAACTCATTTAAAAGTATGTAGACTTAATTGACTTTTTGATGAACGGACAACGACTTATTTGATAATTTTCCCTTAAATAAATCGATGGAGGAAAGTTCAAAATGCCGAGTAAAAAAAGGTATCATTTGACCATAACGTGCACTTTTGAAAATCTGGAGCACTTCTCATTTCTCTCCAAAAGTTTTACTTTTCCCACGTATTTTGCAACCCGCCGCTGCCGTTGTTGTATATGCATACAAGACCCGCCTGTATTCGTCGTCTCCACTTCTCCGGTTGTTTTCCTCCCTGGTAGGAATGTATATGGTGACCACACGGGAGCAGCTTTTACTGGTGGTTCTTTTGTTTGGCGCCACCGATATATACCAGTCACTGATTCCCTCTCAACAGGATGTAATGGAAGATCTGAAGGGGAATCTCACGATTCCGCGCGATTCGCCGCTGCAGAATTGGTTTCACACGGAAGACAAGTGCAACTGGATGAGTGTCAACTGCTCTTCCGATTACGTTACGAAGATCCGAATCGGGAACCAGAGCCTCGGCGGCTCACTGCCGGCCACCCTCGGATACCTCTCCCGCTTGACCACTCTCGAAGTGATGGATAACCACATCGGCGGCCCGCTCCCCAAATTTGCCCGAGAACTGGATCAGCTTCATACGCTCAACCTGTCCAACAACAATTTCTCTTCGATCCCGCCGGAATTCTTTTCCGGTATGACTTACTTGGCCACTGTTTCTTTAGACAACAACCCTTTTCTTCCCTGGAATTTATCTTCCGTCCCTCTTACCGATTCTGAAAATCTGGAGACATTTTCCGCCGCCAATTGCAGCCTTTACGGGACCTTACCGGCTTTCAGCGACCAGACATTCACGAACTTGCACCACCTCAACTTCTCAAACAACAATTTGACCGGCGAACTCCGCTCCAGCCTCTCATCAGCCACTTCTCTTGTGACCCTTCGGGTGAATGACCAAACCGGGTACGGATTGGTTGGCAGCTTGGACTTTTTGCAGCGCATGCCGGATCTGACCCAGGTCTGGTTGCAGAACAACGCCTTCTCCGGCCAGATTCCCGACGGGCTTCAGTCCTTGGAGGATTTCCGCGCGAATAAGAACCTGCTCACCGGCCCGGTCCCGGATTCAATGACGAAGACCACCACACTCCGGGTGGTGAATCTGGGTAACAATCTTTTGCAGGGTCCGCCACCGAGGTTCGGAATTCAAGTGCAGGTGGATTATGGGATGTACGCTATGGAGAATAACAGCTTCTGTTCGAGTAATCCCGGCGACCGGTGTGACCCTCAGGTCGACATTTTACTGGACATAGCCAGTCATTTCGGGTACCCTGTTCGGCTAGCAGGTTCTTGGAAGGGGAGCAATAGTTGCAGCGTGAACCAGACATGGGCGGGGGTAACCTGCGATGGAGGAGGCGGAAACATCACGGCTCTCAACTATACACACTTCTGGCTCTCAGGGACAATCTCGCCGGCGATTTCATCCCTCACAGAGCTGCGTAATTTGAGTCTGGCGAAGAACAACCTGACTGGCCCTATTCCTGAAGAGCTCTCAAGATTGCCACATCTTCAGATGCTGGATGTTTCTTACAATGGCCTTTGTGGTAATGTCCCTAACTCACTTATCAATGTCACAGTTTACACAGGAAATGCCCTTATCAACCAAGATTGTCCTCGTTCTCCTCCTTCTGCTCTCCGCCGTAATTCCTCTTACTCTCCACCGTAATGATCTGTAACTTCATCTGTAATTCAGACGTTTTTGTATTCCCATTTGAACCATATCCGGGGTCGTGGCGGGCAATCCCGGATATCTGTTCCATTTTATATGTCCAGTTACATTTTATGCTCTAGACTACTTGTGTATCAACTCTCTTTGAACACATCTATGACTGCAGAATATATTTTGGATTTTTGATTTATGGCCTGATCTTTTTGTGTCATAGCATAGATGGTATCCAATCTCCCAGTTACATTGAACAGGCACAATATGTGGGAGTTCACATTGTGTGGCAATGGGGCACTGGGGTGGACCGTGGGGGCAGTGAATTATGTTTGCAAATAAAGAAATTGCTATAGTACTAAAACCTAGAGAAGTTTCTTAAATAAAAGTTTTTATGTTTTATTAATTTATTCCCTATATAGGGTTACAGATTACCTAACTTCCTCCTCTATCTTCCTTTTCTAATCTCTGATTTTTTGATGAATTTTTCAGTTTTCAACAATCTCATTTTGAGATTTTTTTATTGATTTCAGAAAATTTAGAGATTACTTTTTCACAACACTTTATTCAAATATGAAAAGCTTTTTTTCCTAGAATATTTCTCAACTAAAATTTATGGACAAAATGCGAGTAAAGTTACTTTATGCATAAGTTCATGATAGCTATAGTTTAAAATTAAATTGAACCATAGTCATTAAAAGTGTGTTTGGGAGTAGGAGACTTGGAGACATGTGAGGGTTCATAACCCTTCTATTTGTGTTTGGCGGCTTAAAAAACGTGGAGAAATGATTTTGGCAGCTTTTGTGACCCTCCAAGGGACATATATTAAGTAATAATAGTCATTTCATATTATTTGTTAATATAAATCGTTAATGTATAAATGACGTGAAAGAGTATGTATGTAATACACATAAATAATTAAATTTAAGGTATATATATATACATGTATATATATATATATATACATACACACATACATATATATATATGTGCAAGCGAAACATGAAAAAGTGAAAACTTTGCACGGGAAGACCACTTTTCATTTGATTTTGGTCAAATTCGGCCAAAGTGACGGTGACAGTTTTGTAAATAAACTAATTTTTTTGAGCTATCGCGAAAAAGTGCAATGAAAACAAGAAAAAGTGCAAGCGAAACATGAAAAAGTGTAAACTTTTCACTTTGCACGACGTTAAGACCTCTTTTTATTTGAATCATCCCCTATATATATATATGACTCGTAATTGGTACGGATATTGTTTTGGAAGAGTAAGAAAAAATAAACATTACAATTGGAAATGCGTACTCTACACATTATGAAATACTTCTTTGTAGACAACATTGGTAGTACGGTCGAGTTGTTCTCCATTTTCACGGCATATGAGTATCATTAAACCCTTAAGATTTGTCACCATCGATCTGCAACATACAGCTAACCATGTGTAAACACGGGCTTTTTTAATAAAAGGCCAACATGCGACAACGATTGACCTTGACTTTTATTTATTGTCATTGCATAAGAGGCCATGACAGGAAATTGTCCTTTAAAACTTGAACAACAATGTATTCAATTAAAAATATGAGCTCATGAAAACAAATAAATAATGAACTTATTGAATATATTTATGCACACTTTGATAGTAGTTATACCCATTTTATTGTAGAAAAATACATTCTACAGAGCAACATTTGTAGTCTTTGAATAATGAATGAACATCCATGATTAAATATTATGTCCATGTCAGGGCCGAACCTCTAGATGAGACAAAGAGGCAACTGCCTCAGGCCCACAAATTTGGGGAAAAAATTAGGGCCCAGAAATTTATTAGTTACCTTTATATAGAGGAAAGTTCATGTCCGGAATTCCGGACAGGAACCGCCGTCGAAACGGTAGCGTTTGGTCGACTTCCCTGTGGAATATTTTGATGAAATTTTTATAGCATGTTCCTCATCAAATCTAGTTTATCCACAAAATGTTTCAGCTTAAAATTCAATCGAAAACGCCGTCAAATTATTTTTGGAAGGTAACTGCGTTTTATATGTATATTTTAGCACATTTATCTTCCAAATATCATTTGACGGCCTTCCCGATTGAATTTTTAGCTGACTTTTTTTGTGGATAAACTAGACTTGATTAGGAACATGACATAAAATATTTTAACAAAAAATTCCACCGAGAAGGCGTCCAAACGCCTCCGTCCGGACGACGGTTCCTGTCCGGAATTCCGAACATAATCTTTCCTCCCTAAAAAATTCTCAGGGCCTTTTTTCACAGTTCGACTCAGACCAAAAAAATCTTAGGATCGGCCCTGGTCCATGTATAATGAATTTTTGTAAATAAAGTTGATGTGTGATATAAGCGTTTATTATAATCAATTTTAATCGACAATACTCAACGTAGTTTATATTGATCTGCTATTGCAACTTTTTTGACAGAATATTGGTCTCCTAAAGTGTTAATTAGTGTGTATTCAAGTCTACCATATATACATCTAAAATGAGTTTTGTAGTAACTTCGTTTATAATTTTTTTTAAACTTGTAAAAGTTCCGTTCAAAAAAAAAAACTTGTAAAAGTACATTCCAATAGAGTGTTCATAAACCACCTTAAAGGTATATATCACTCTATCCTTGCATACATCATTCTTAATTTCCGTGAAGTATATTTTGCTTCCTTAAGAGTTAAGAGGTATATACAACAATTTTTTCATACTATACATTATAAATAAAAATATATATCAAGGTTTCAAAGCACTTATTTCTCACATACAGACACATAATCAGAACTTGGGATTTGTGCATTACTGCAAACATGCCACAAAGGATTTCAGACTTCCTATTTTCTTATATAATGATTTCAAAAATTAGAAATAAATAAATATGTAAATAAATAAATAAATAAATAAATAAATACGAATGCATTAGTACACTGCCCAATTCATTCAGCGGAACAGACAAATGAGCTGGCAGCTACCATGCCCGACCCACTTTTTGACCCGTATCTTTAGGCGGAAAAATAGCCTGATTTTACACTTCCTTTTGTATATAGTAAAAGGTAGATTTTCCACTTTAAAAATGTAAAAAGTACACCATCTTTTCCCAACACAACCAATAACAGAAGTAGCAGAGGTAGATTGTCTACTTTACTTGCTTTCTTCTCATTTAGTATGTTGAAACTGCCATACTCACACTGCTCAGTATTAAGTTATCTAAGACAAATGAGTAAATGGAATCTAGAATTCCCTCTTTGCCTAATTTTCTTGCTTAGTTCAAATTTCCTGCTTCATTTCTAATGTTTCAAATTTCCTAGTATTTCTCTATGCCTAAATTATTTTCTTTTTTCGCATATATTATGTTAAATATGACTTATTATAGCTACTCAATAAAAGTTTTCTAAATTAAACAATATCATGATGCTTCAATGTACGAAAACATCACCATTTCCTTGTTTTCTAAGTTCACTTCTACGTGTGTCTTACATGTCCTTTACTCCTTTAGTAGGAAAAAAGATTTTTGTAGAGAGATAGGAGTGCATCCTTTTAATAGGATAAATAGACAATGTCAGGTCGGGGGCACTCCATTGATGCTGAATAAGATGAAAGCCTAAAAAGTAAAAATAACTATTTTTAACTAATTAACTAAAGAGTGCACCAGCTACTTACATGATTTGGTGTGTGCGTGTTTAACCTACATATTGAGAAGATCTCTTCTACTTCAACAAAAGCTAGTGATAAGGGAAAAATAAATTATAGAACCACCTTATATTGCCAACATTTCAATAGATAGATAATGTTTCAATATGAAACTAACGGTGCCAAGGAAAATAGTTGGAGAAACTGTTGACCGTACCTTGAGATCAGAAGCTCCGAGCCAAACTAATGGATCATCCATAATTAATAATCCTTCAAAATCAACTAACCATAAAACAGAAATACCAGAGCCTACAGAAAAACTATTATACATCAATAAGTTTAAGTTTAGCAAAAAACCAATCAGGATGAGTTTCTACAGTTAAACTATTACACATCAATAAGTTTAAGTTTAGCAAAAAACCAATCAGTGAGTTACACATCAATAAGTTTAAGTCTAAGTTTCTACAGTTAAACTATTACACTCATGTTTGCGGTTGAGCCACCCACTCTGAAATAGACAAAATATTAATTCTATATTAAATCAAATGATAAATATTAATCAAAGTAAATTTGATCAAAGTCCTATTTTAAGAGATAATGTACCATCTCTATTTCCTCCAATTCGTTAGTCTCAGCCTTGTCGGTCTCATACAATGTTAAAATGGATGGATCTCTGAACATAACAGCACCCCCAAAAGAACCTGTGCCTTTGTAAGAGTATCCTTCAGCCCCTTTTTAACCTGAACTTAGAACAAACTTTTTTTTGTCAATTACAACCTCTTTATCTTCAGGGAAATGATTAGGGTCGCCCATTTTCTGAAAAGGTAGGAAATTATTTAAGTATGAATCTAAGTAAAATAATCATTAAAATATCTCTCTCAAAATATATGTGACTCAACTGGCATGTTTTGTATTTTTTTTCTAATATTATTTGACCTAAGCATTTTATCAAACATCACATATGCAGAAATGTAGAATTAGAGAGTAGTTATACTATAGAAAATGAGTTTAGCTCCATATAATAACATCTTATATAGCTTGTCAATTCATTCAAAATAAATATTAATCCATTTTCTATTCTTAATTAACCATAGATGGGAACTCAACCAAATACTGTTGATCCAAGAAAGTATGGATTTTAACTCAACATTTTGACTAATAAAATAGGTTACCAAGAGTACTCATTCCAGATTGCCTAACTAATTGAATCCATCCAAACAAAATCTATTTGAAATAAATTTACAGATTATTATTTCGAGTAAAAATCAAAATTGTATTTTTTGAGTCAAAATCAAAATCGAATCCAACCAACCCAAAGAACTACTCCACTACTCTAAGCCTGCTTTAATTTTGTCATCAAGAGTTATAACCAATTTTTTTTGTGAAGCTGCAATTGGGGTCTTTACATCACTGGCAGATAATTTAATCTGGTGTAAAAGTATTAGGTTTAACCCCATTAATGAACTAAAGAATAAATAATACAACATCATACTATGACTGCCTATATTACCTTCTCTGCCTCAGTTCCATCAAGCTATTTGCTTGGTATTGACAAATCAACATTTTTAACAGAAT